TCATCATCATCATCATCCCCATTATCTTTTCATAATCTGATCCTGATTAATCTGATTATTCTGATTATTCTGATTATTCTAATTATTCTGATTATTCTGATTAAAAATCTACAAGACTTGATGTCTACATCGAGAAAGGAGGTACCTGCATTCAGGAATGCGGATGAATATATTATAGCAAAGATATATATTTCTCATTTAGAATGATCAAAAACAAATAAATGAATGAATGAATGAATGATTGCACTAATAAAAATATTTAATGAATCAATATTCATATATTTCAATATCTTAAGAAATTGAAGTTATTTATTAATAAATAGAGAACATTTCCTTTTATTTCATATATAATAATTAAACTTATATTCGAATAGTGCAAATGTAGGAAAGAAATTTTGAATCTGATTCTGATAAGAAATATATAAGTCTTTGCTAGATGAATGAAATGACATAAATGGCAGCCAGCACTCAGGAGTGCATTTTAAAATATATCAAGGCTATACATTTTTATTTCAAAATTATGAACAAATGAATATAAAGTGAGAGACTTAATAAATACATATGAGAGAGAAAGACAGAGAGAGAGAGAGAGAAAGAGAAAGAAAGAGAGAGAGTGAGAGAGGAGACAGAGAAAATTTTTATTATTTATATATATATAAATTTCATAAGAAATGCTAAGAAGATATATTGATATAAAGATTATTAACAAATATTTATACGTATATGAAAGAAATATGATTATTTTTTTGGAATAAAAATGCATAAGTCTTGATACATAAATGAAACGATTGATATGGCTTGCCTGCACTCAGGAGTGCATATGATAGGTTCACAGTAAGTACATGACCGCACTCAGGAGTGCATATGATAAATTCACAGTAAGTACATGACCGCACTCAGGAGTGCATATGATAAATTCACAGTAAGTACATGCCTGCATTCAAAAATGCAGATGAACATATTATAGTAAGGATATACATTTCTCGTTCAGAAAAATCAAAAATACATCAAGGAAAATGCACTTGTATATAATGAATTAAATATAATAAATTAAAGTATATAATAAATAAATATTTAAATTTTCTGATTTTATAATATTATTTAATAGAAACGAAATTTATCTAATAATAAATCAAGAATATTTCATACTCTTCCTAATACAATAATATATTTATATTTAAATAGAGTGCAAATGAATGAAAAGAAAATTAAATCATTCTGATTAGAAATGTATAAATCTTGCTAAGCGAGCGATATGATACAGAAAGAACAGCCTTGCACTCAGGAGTGCATAAAATTTGTCAAGGGTATACATTTTTATTCCATATTATTTAAATATAATTATCAAATGAAAGAGTTTATAAATATATAAAAAAAAACTATATTTTTATTGTATATATACATATATATATAGATGATTCATAAGAAATATGAAGAAGAGATAATGAATGACATGACAATGATTTTTTAAGAGATGTTTATTTGTATATTGAATAAATATAATTATTTTTGGGAATAAAAATGCATAAGTCTTGATATATAAATAAAACGAATGAAAAGGCTGTCCCACTCAGGAGTGGGGACGAAAATAATTTAGAATAGGGACAGGCCTGCATTCAGGAATGCACCTGGATACTCAAGCATGTAGATTTTTATTTCAGAATAATTAAAAATTTTTTATATGATTATTACTAAGTAATAATTCTATAAATTTATAAATCACGAGTTGTAAAACGACTCATACATCGTAACCATCACCATTATTTTATTTTATAGATTCTAATTATTTTGATTAAAAATCTATAAGACTTGATGTAATTAGGGAAGTCAGGATATGTTAAAGCAAGCAGTGGTGACAAAATAAATTCATAAGAATAATATGCAAGAATATATTAACACTATTTTGCCTCTAATATGTGTAATATTTTTATATTTAATCTTATTTTTTTCTATCAGATTTCAAATTTCATTATTATTTCATATACGTATACGAAATACATGGTTCTAAAATTGTGAAATTGTATTATTATATTTTTTATAATTTAATCGATAAAAAAGTCTCTTACATATAAACAATATAATATGTACATGAGACACTTGATGTAACTGCATATTTCGCGTTAGTATAAACGTAATAACATAAGACATATGTAATTTATCGATTAAATATAGATCTGATCTCGTTATGGATATGATTACGGCAATATACAAAATTGCATATGCATTTTGTAATACGAAACAAGGTGCAGTATATTTTTGTTTTTTTTTAAACGCGGCATAATTCTTAAATATTGTGAAATATTCACAATTCTTTTTTTTATAACGTGTCTTGAATAATTTATAATATGTATCTATAATTGTATTAATCAATCGACAATTGATTATGCAATTCTTTCTTTGTATATATATATTTCTATATATTTTTTATACATTTATACATAAAATCCACGTATAATTTCATATTTTTATTTAAATGTAAAGCCTGTTTTCTAATGCATCGAGAATTCTATATATTCGGTGCAAATTTTATTGCCATTTTAATACTTTCTTTTTTTTTTTATTTCAGCATTATAATCTATGGATAAATATATGTATATAAAATGTTTTATTTATTAAATTATCATAATTATCAAAATTATAAAAATTTTTACCCATGGATTGTAGATATAATTTTTTCTTTCCACACATGCCCTTTTATATAGTTTTCTGTTACAGAGAGACGTCATTTTCACGTTCCAAGGTTAAATATTGCAAAATATCTCTTTATATATCAGTGAGTATTAACAAGAATGTTGCAAATAATATTTCAAGATTTGCCATACTATTATAGTATGTGACATGAAAAAAAAATTGATAAAAATTATGAATCATATTTATTTATTAAAATTAATTTTTTTGTTTCAGGATTGTCAGATGCCTTTAATTAACAAAAAATCGAAGCAAGATAAGAATGTGGAGATCTAATTAATTATGGAGGATTTGAATGAAGAATTGGAATTATACAAAATAAAAAATAATGGAGGATGAATTGTTTGCAATTATTTTTTTTATTCATTTGAAATATTCAAAAAAATTTTAATCTATCTAAACATAGTTGATTTCTGTTTCAGGAAATATCATCTACATTGGCAAGATTCGATTTCAGTCTTCGTTGGTTGTTTTTTTCGTTTATGAGATATGCCTATATGCATGTGTGTGTATGTATAAAATAATTCTTATTTTAATATATGTTTTATTTTCAGAAAATAATAAAATTATAATTTTCTTATGTTCACAGGTTGTTTATTCATTATATAAAATATACATATTGATTTTGATTGCTTGTTTAATTATAAAATCTTTTTAATGTTTTATATTTACAGGTGACTGTGAATAGCAGAATGCTGATTTATTATATGAAATTCGCACATTATTTCGATTGTTTCTTGTTTAATTATAAAATGTTTTTGATGTTTTATGTTCACAGGTGACTGTTGATTTGTTATATGAAATCCGCATATTATTTCGATTGCTTTTTGTTTAATTATAAAATGTTTTTGATGTTTTATGTTCACAGATAGCTATGCTGTTTACATCACATGAAGAAATTGTATATTTAGAATAAATATTTAAATTATATATTATACAATAGAATCATATATTTGATGATAGGACAATATATATAACAAAAAAAAAAAAGAAAAAATTGGCCAATTATTAATCTTACAAAAGATTAAATTATTTCTATTGCGTTATATATATTATATGCGTCTAAGACGATATTTTTATATTATATATTTTTTAATATTATAAATTTATAATATTATAAATTTATAATGTTAACCACGTTAGTTTAATGAGAATAGAATTCTATATGAAGGGCTCTATTCTTAACCGGGTACGTAGGTCGATATCAAACGAATTCATAAATTTTCGTCTAATCACGATTGATTAGAAAAAAATTTTTGATTCGTTTCGCGATTGATTTTGTTTCTTTTTCCAAATTATCATAATTATTATTGAATGTTATAATCATGATTTTATATAATTGATTCCAAAAGTAATTAATATTAACAGTAGAGTCTTTAGCCCGTGGGTCTCCGTATGCAGCAACCTCCATGTGGTGAGACCTGGAAATCGATATTACTTGCGATATATGATAATATAATGCAAGTACTGTCGAGCTAATGGCTGCATTTAAATTCAATCAAAATTTACTACGTTCTATAATAATTCTTTTTTATCTTTCCATATTGTCCATTTCTTTTGCCTCAATAAATATATAGATTATTTTATTAATTATTATATTTGTTTTGAACTTATATAATTCTGTTATATATTAAATATATGTAATAGAATTATGTGTAATATATATTTTTTTTGTGTGTATGTAAATATTTTTTGTTTAAATAGAAGGTCATGCCTGAGGTTTCAAGAAATTAAGAGGGTTCTTTTCCTATGCATTTACAATGATTTACTCCATGAATTTTCATAGTCATATTTTTTTGTTTGATTTTGGTGATAAAACGCTCACTCGAAGGATAAGGATTTTTTTATACGAGATTATCTTTGCAGATTTTGGAAAAGTATTATTTTCTTTGTTTATAAATATTATTGTTAATATCTAAAAAAATAAATCATTTTCAAAAATAATCATCATGCAAGTGAAAGCTTGTTTTGATAATTGAAAACAATGATTTTTCGTCTTTATCTCTTGAATGAGCTCTTGATTACCAAAATTGAAGAAAAATTAGGTCTCGATTAGGTAAACAGTCTTAATAGCAAAGTATTCAACTTTAAAAATGTGCGCTTTTTATTTACATAGCAATATCTTTACATATTAAAACAATACATTATTCTTTAATTGCTAAAGAATGAAAACTTCGATACGCTTTATAAGAACTTTTATAAATAAGTTACGAGGAATATCATTGCATGTGAAATTCATTTATCCACATTATAATACTGTTACCTTTGAAACGCAGTTGCTTTAACACGTTGTTTAATAGGTATACGCCATCTTTATAGTATATTATTATTTTATTGAAAAAAACAAGATATGTTGTAATCTAAATTACTTTCTTAGTATACAATAACGAATATCATTTAACAATTTTAACTTTATTAGGAAATACTTTCTCGATTGGTTTCACTTCTCCGAATCTAGCTTTTCTCTTCTCTATTCGTGCTTCCAATTCAGCCTAAAAAAAAAGATTATTTTTTTAGGTAATCAATATTAAAGGAAAGCAAGATTATTAAAAATATTCTTAATTATTACCTTATCCATTACACTAGAAACTGACATTCCAAATCTTTCTGCACGTTTCTTTAAGACCTCGTAAGTTGTGTGCTGTATACATATATATATATACATTTATAAAATATTATTTATATAATGTTATTAAAAAAATTAATAATATTATAAAATAGCAATGGAAAATTTTATTTTAAAGTAAAACTTACTATGGGAGTTTTCACAGATGCAGCTGATTTGTTATTTTGATTATTAATACTAAATCTTGCTGATCGAGCTTCCTTCTTTGCTGCTTCTGATAATGGTAATCCAAACTTTTTTGCTCTCATTTCTAATCTCTATTATATATATATGTATATATATATACATACATAAAAAAAATAGTAAACCAATTGTTATGTCATTATAATGTATTTAAATTTGTATTAATATATTTAATTTTATATTATAGATTCTTACCTCCTTGGTACCAAGCTCTGATAATTTTATAATTTTTTTCTCAGGAGATGCATTTTCTGAAGATTTTGTGTCATTGTCATGTTTCTCTACTTCATCCATCTTAACATCTTCAATCACAGGTTTACGATTTAAAACTATTTTTTTTGTATTACTCACATTACTTTCTACTGACAACTTTCTTTTCTCATTGATCTCCTGTGAATCTGGTTTACTTGATAATTCTTCTATTTCTTCATCCTACAAAATTACATATATATATAATACAATACATATAATACAATGAAATTTTCATATATCATTTAAAGAGCATTTAAATGTTATAAGAATATAATATTGTGATATATTTATTATTTACACCGAGAACTGCATCTTCATCTAATATTTCCTCTGCTGTTTCATCCAAAGATAATGCAGAATCTAGAATATAGAATATAAACAAGCTTACATATATACCTGCATCTAAGAAGTTGTATATAATATTACATACCACCATGTATCGCTAATTGAAGCCTTTCAACCAGTTCGTTTTTGTTTCCTGTTGTAGGAAGACCTCTTTGTTTTAATTCTACTTTCAAATTCGCAACCTTGCAAAATAAGAACATTTATTTATTGATTCATATTATAAATTAATAATTAATGCATTTTATTGATAATACTTATAATGATATAAAATTTTACTCCTCAAAAATAATATTATATTGCACTTCTTATTCGTAATGACGTGAAAAACAAAATAAATTTTAATATAAAAATTAATGTTCCTTCTAATAAAAAAATAGGTTAGAATGCGATAAAGTATTAAATCTAATTCAATCAGCGTACCTTCATTTTCGAAAGTTCAGTCAATCCTTTTTCGTAAGATGAATCAGCCATGGTGTCTTTCTTTTTTTTTTTTTTTTTTTTTTTAAATTTAAAAGAAATGTCAAGCAAATTACAAATTCGTTATCATCTCATAAAGCACATTCACTAAATTCAAGAATGAATAGAATAATGTAAAAATGTTAGGACTGTTTATAATAGTTTACAATGAAAGACGTAACTGTTTGCAATGAAATACCATAATCGATCGATCGAAAACTTAACCAAAAATGTGAATAGAGTACTATTAAAAATTAATACATAAAATAGCAAATTTTTAAGTTGGTAATATATATATATGTGTATATATAATATAAAAATATTTATTCTAGCCGATATTTATTATTAAGATTTAATTTATGAAATTTTCAAAATTCTCACATTTTATTTTGTGGTTAAGACCTTAGTCGATTATGCGATATATGAAGAACCAATCAAATTCGAATTAGTCAGAAAATATTTAACGATTGGTTGTTTAAAGAATATACGTATTTTTGCAACTTGTGATTTTCAAAAGCTGCAAAAATACCTTCTCGTTGACTTTAATTAATAAGTATAAGTAAAATTGTAAAATATTTATATATATATATGTATATTTTCATATTATATTCCTATTTTATTATTCGTTTAATACATGTAAACGAATTTTGAATAAGGACCAATCAGAATACGCCAGGTCTATTTCCGGATTTTTGACACTATCTAACGTGTATAAAAGTAGTGTGAAGTTTTGTTCGCTGTGTACTCAAAGAATGTGTTAAAATAATAATTGTTCGAATTATAAAATATAAATCCAATAGAAATTATTAAGTTTCTGCTACTTAATATACGTCTATTAAACTAATTCTTATCGTATGTATTTTGTATATCATTGTTTTTTCATAACCTATTAGAGCGGCATTTGATTTCGCAAATTTATCACTTAAGTAAAAAGTCTTTGTTAATGTCAAACTAAACGATTTATTAATTTTTTCAGAATATATCATTTATAAAAATGGATATTAAAATGTGGTTCACTATCACTGTAATTTTTAGTATGGTATCTTTTATAACAGCTTTAAAAGAAGGAGAATGCGAAGGTAACTTATTTTTATATATTGCATATTTACAAATAATATATTATCTTTAGTTACTTATTTTTTATATCTTTTTTTATAGTATGTGTAACTACTGTAAATAAATTTGTTGAAACTTTAACAAATGATATTAAAGCTGATCCCAAAAAAATAGAATCAGAGTTCAAAGAATTTTGTAAAACTACAAAGTCAAAAGAAAACAGATTTGTAAGTACATCTATCATACAAATAATCTTTATATAAACGCGTACAAGTATGAAAATAATTTTTCTTGTGTATTTCAGTGCTATTACTTAGGTGGTTTAGAAGAATCTGCAACAGGCATTTTGGGAGAACTTAGTAAACCAGTGTCTTGGTCTATGCCTGCAGATAAGATATGTGAAAAATTAAAGAAAAAGGATCCACAGATATGTGATTTACGATATGGTAGATATATATTTTTTTTAATTGTATATTATAAAATATTTCATGAAATATTATTGTGTATTAGAAATAATATTAATTAATAATAACAATCGTGTAATATTCTGTTATTGTTACAGAAAAACAAATAGATCTTAGAACAGTGGATTTGAAAAAGTTAAAAGTAAGAGATTTGAAAAAAATTTTAAATGATTGGGAGGAATCGTGTGAAGGATGTATAGAAAAGACAGACTTCATTAAACGGATTGAAGAACTTAAGCCTAAATATTCAAGCAATTCTAAAACAGAGCTTTGAAGAGAGCTCTAAGATATAAATAAATAATTAAGATATAACTCAATTATGCATTATTCTGTTTGGCAGGAAAATTAATAGCAATATTTAAAATATGTGTATATTTAATATTTATGTACTTTGATACAATTTCTTTTTGAAAACGTTTGATTTGTGAAAGAACATTAGAAATTATTAATTTATATTAATTTTGTTTCATATTGTATTATTTTTTAAACAATTGCTCAACCTTGTGGTCATCATAGGACATTTTAAAACAAATTAAAAATAACATGTTAATTATTTAATTATTTTTGTTTTTCTCTCTCTTTGATGAGGCTAAAAATGAATATAAACTAAGATTATCAGATGGTGCTTCATTTATACAATATTCATAGATATAATTTTAAAATGTAAGTTTTTCAAATTGGAATATTTTATATTTTCTATTTTCACTGCCCTTCCTCTAATAGTCTGATACAAAAAATCATCTTAATGTAAGGTACACATCACTATATTTAGAATTAAAAGCTATGAAACATATAGGATGTGTCAACAAAGAAAGTCAAAGGATCTCAAATTTCATTAAAATTTGAAAAAAATCATAACATAATCACTTCTCTAAATTTGTCATGAACAGAATTGAAGGGCAATGACAAGACGTATAACAGAAAACAAATTGCACATTTCTATATCTATAAAACAATTTCATAATTTTCATATCTAATTGTTCATTACATTGTACAACATACACAGTAATAGTAAATACTTATATTTGATAGACAACGAAATATTATTTTTGACAAATTTGTATAAACCTTTTATTTTTAACGCCGGATATCAAAATTGCTTTGCAGCGATGTACAAAAATTTTCTTACTTTTAATATATTTTTATATGAACTTATGCTCATTTATCATTAATGTTATTTAGCTCACAAATAAATATATACACGTATGCGTGTATGTACATATATGTATATATGTTTACTTTGATAATTATATGAATTTAAACATTCTTGCTAAAATGATATGGAAAATATACGACCGTTTACGTGTTTTTGCGTATTTTTATATATTTTTTCTATATCGCAATATATTCTCTATAATTATTTATTAGTACATTGTGGAGGATCGCTCCATTTTCCATCCGATTTACAAGTAATTGAACCTACCTTTTTACCATTAGGACAGATATAAGCAAGTTGTTCTCGAAATAAATAGGATGGACCCTGAACAATTATACCAGGTGGTACTACGGGTTTACCGCAAGATATTTCTGAAAGTACAATGAATAAATAAAGAAAAAAATAGTATTTTCCATAAATACTGAAGTAAAGATTTAATTTAATATTTATGGAGAATGAAGAATTAATTCGTAGCTTACTAGAACACCTGCCACGCATTTTGGACCATTTTCCATTAGGAAGGCATTTCGCAGTTGATTGTCCAAATATTCGATATCCTGGTATACATTCAAAATTAATTATATCATCAACATTATAATCAGTTTCATTTTGTTTTAATACTGCAGTAACTGGTAATGTTGGTTTTCTACAAGTCACATCTGAAAACAACGATATTCTAGATTTTTTTATACAATTAATATATCATAATTTTTAACTTACGTTTACACAAAGGCATTGCAGACCATGTGCCGTTTGAATGACATGTTAATGTTTCAGTGCCTTCAAGAATATAGTTTCGTTGACAACTAAAGGTAAAAATATTAGTAACATTTTTTAAATCATTCATATTGATATTGGTAATATTAATGAGTGTAGCACACAATACTCCTTCACATGTTTCATTTTGCGAATCATGTATCTGTATAAATTTATTATTATATTGTAAAAAATTCACGAGTTTCCATTGACTAGCTTCATTGCAAATCCATGTAATGTTTAATCTTTCATCGGCAGTAAAAGAGTTTGAATCATTCATACTATTTTGACATATCATAAGAATTCTTTTACTATAAATATCTCCTTCAATGTAAAAATGAATGTTTCCATAAGAATTGTTCACATTTTTATAACTTCCTTCTTTGTATTTTTCACTTTTATAATGCACATTATTCAATGCATTGATATTAAGAAATCGTGATACAAAATGATTAGAAATTGGGCAATTAAGTGGTTCACAAATCTGATTGTCTGGAATCCAAGTTCCATCATTGCTGCATACTCTACTATTTTCACCTATTAATGTATATCCTGAATTACAAGTAACAAAAATTGTTGTATTAGGAATAAAATTCTCTTTCAATTCTTTATTATTAAAATATTGTGTCCAATTTGATCCTTTTGAAACTCTTGAAATCTCCAATGTCAAATTGCCCTCTATACTTAGAAATATCTTTCCATCTTCTATTAGGTTTGGCCAAGGACACTTAATGAGAATGCAATTTGGAAAGTAACTAGTCCACAAACCATTATTAGAACATTGAAGAGTAAACATTGTAGAAGAATCATTAATGTTTTCAAATTTGTAACCAGGATCACAAAAATATTCAATAGTATCACCATAAGAGTAGTTTCTGACAAAAGGATCATTAGTAGAATTTTCTTTGAATTTGAAAGAACTAAAAGATTTTTCATTTCCATTGGTAATTATTTTCATGTAACCATGCTCTATTCTATATTTAAAAAAAAAAAATTATAATAATAATAAAAAATAAGAAACCAAATATATAAAAAAATAATTATTTTACAAAATTTATATAAAAATTTACTTCATCGGCGGTGGACAACTGTAAGGAATGCAAACTGGATTATCATGATTCCATATGCCAGTTTCTAAACATGTTAGATATTTTTCACCGACCAAACGAAATCCAGAATCACATTTAAATTCAATTTGTTGCCCTGCCTAGATAAAATAATTAAATAAAAATTTGCTTTAATATTAAACATTGCTCTCAAAGGAATATATTATACCTGCAAAATTGTAATGTCATCTCTCTCATTCTCTTCTATTATGTATTCTATATCTCCATTTTCCGGTGCCAATAAACTTTTACATGTTACCCCTATCATAAGAATGTCATATGTAAACGTTTATTTAAACTTTTTTAAATTGGATAATTCACTAACACAACATATGTAGTTATAAATTTTACCAATACAAAGAGGTGGCGATCCACTCCATTTTCCATTTGATTTGCATACTCTACGTATGCTTCCATGAAGTTCGTAGCCACTGATACAAGAATAATAAATTTCATCCCCGAAAAAATACGACCAACCCCTTATATAGCCACGTGGAAAATATCCAGGAAAGCCGCATTTTACTTCTAAAAAATTACAAATAATATAAAAAAAAAAATAATAATAAAACTATAATTATTCTCAGTTTTAAATAATTTTGTAAATCTTACTAAGACATTTAGGTGTATCGGAACCTTCCCATTCACCATTTTTAAGACATTTTCTTCTTAGTACTTCTTGTTCTTTACCACCAAATTTGAGAACATATCCAGTATCACAATAATAAGTTGCTTCTAATAAATCTTCTGTAGTATTTATGTTACCTCTAAATGGTACAACTGGTAATGAACAACCACGACAAAAATGGCTGTTTATGATCTAAAAAAAAGTTATGATATATTTTTATAATATTGTAGGAATGTTTAATTTAATGAAATTATTAGATTTATTAATAAAAAAGGTATAATTACCATAATATCTCCATATATATGTTCCAATATATGAGACCATGTATAAAGAGTGCCATAGTATTTTTCACATGTTCTATACAAATGCATTATATAATCATTCGTAAAAGCCGAATCCCAAATATCTAATAATGTAATATTACCCACGAATGATTCTGATTCAGAAAAACCACCACCCATTCGATCTTGTTCTTGTCCAATAATGAAAGATCCATTACCTAAAGACAAAAATCATCATAACTTTTTATTATTAATATTAAATAATGTATTAAATATTTATGTCTAATGGAAATCTACCTGGAATAATTAAACCCTTTGCTAAGTTTGTACCAGTATCTTTAAGTATTCCATCAAGAAAAATATTCCAAGATCCATTAGTATTCTCCCATGTAATACAAAGAAAATGCCAATAACCATCATTAACTTTAATGTCAGTTACAACTCCGTGCCCATTGATATATAATACGAAACTATATCAAATTTTTTATTAAATATTTTAACTGATATTTCAAAATGATATAGTCATATGAAGAGATGACTCACCCATTATAATCTGTTACTGTAAGCGCATTATCTTCATCATGTGTTGCATATGAAAGCACAGTGCCGTAATTAAAAGTGTCCATGGATTGCAACCACACGGTAATAGTTAACTAAAAAATAAATGTATAAAGTAATAAAATATAGGCTTCATAATATTTGATTTCCTATTAATTTTTTACCTGTGACATATTTTTTATGGGACCTTTCATCATCACATAATTGGTTGTACTGGATCTCACAAAATGCATGATATAATCGGATGTCAATTCTTTGTTAAAAAAATATCTCATTTAAGATTTAAATACATACATGCTCTGAATGAATATATCTCCAAAATATAGAGAATTGGAAAATTATTAAATAAATTAATTTAACATATTTTATGAACTTACCAATTTCACAGTTATTTCCTATAAATGATGGAGGACAGATACAAGTATAATTAAATGATATACTTTTACATTGTCCACCATTTTTACAAGGTGAAATACTACAGTAATCGATTTTTGTACTGCAATCTTTTCCAGTATATCCAATCGGACATTCGCATCTTTTAAAAATAATACATATTTATTTAAATCTCTTTTATAAAATATAACAAAATAAACATTTTCATTGGATAATTTAAAATTCAAACCTGTAACTATTTCTTGTTGCATTTTTTTCCATGATGTTTATACAAATAGAATTTTCATGACAAGGAAGCCAATCACATGGTAATAGATTGCAGCGACGTCCTAAAAAGCCAGATGAGCAAGAACAATACCATGTTTGATTCACAATGTTACATGTTGATCCCTTTTCACAAGGCATTGAATCACAATAATTAACAGAAATTTCACAGAAATCACCTAAAAGTATTAATATTAAGGTATAAGAGATCACTTAAAATATATGAAAAATATTTCAAAATTTCTATCCATAATTACCTTCAAAACCATCTTTACATATACATACGTAATCATTCTCTGTGCTTACACATTTTCCATCATTTTGACAAGGATTATGAATACATTCATCAATATAAACCTAAAAATTAAATTAGAGAATCTTTGTATTTGCAAATTTAAAAAAAAAATTTATATGAACTATTTAAAATTAATAATTAAATTTCCTACCTCACAATTCTGTCCAGTGTAAGCACTTTTACAAGAACAATAATATGGCATTTTTTTATTAGCTTCGTGTACAATGCATAATCCTTCATTTAAGCATGGTGAAGATCTACATGGATTTTGAAATATTTCACATTGTGTGCCTAAAAAAAAATGTATTACTGAAAAATTTTTATAACAATTCAGAAGATTAAAAT